ACCCCCTGCACGCACTGCACCACACACACACATACACCCCCATATACACGCCCTCCCCCCACATGACCCTACATACATGCCCTTCCCAACACACACACCACACCCTGCCCCTACACACTGCACAACACACATACACCCCGCTATATACATGCCCTCCCCCATACAAGCACCCTCCTCTGCACACTGCACCACACACATACATCCCCCATGTACATGTCCTCCTCCCCACACACACACCATATACATGCCCTCCCTCCCACATCACCCCATATACATGCCCTCTTCCCCCCACACACACAAGTACACATGTGCATGAACACCCCCCCCACACACCATGTCGCATGCACCACATATGCACACAAACCACCCCCCATGCAACACCTGCTTCCCCCCCACACACCACATGCCTGCCCCGGGGAGCTGCTGCTGGCAAGCCCCCAGGACTGACAAGACAAAAAAAAAACCCAAGGGACTGAGCCCAGCCAGCATACACACACCTGACTGTGAGCCTGGTGCTGTCGCATGTGTCCCATAGGTGACTTCTGTCACACTTCACAGGGTGCAAAACTGTGGGGCCATTTGGGTACCCGGCAATTTGGTCCCAGCTGATCATTTCTCAGTTAAAAAGAAGATTTGTTTATCTTTTTCCCCCACAAAAGAACTGTGTGTGTGTGTGTGTGTGTGTGTGTGTGTGTGTGTGTTATTTAAAGAGTTGTTTTTTTTTCTTGTCCTAGATCATTTTGAGCATGTGTGCGCTGGTATAGCAGCTATCTGCTGCCCAAAGTCTGTTTCATTTCATTTTCCCCACATGCGTGTCCAAGTGTGTTTTTAACTGACTGGGATGTCAGCAGTGCTTCTGCACTCCAGAATGTTTCCCCCCCATCTCAGTGCCTCAGAGATGGCAAAAACGTCACCCTGTCACCTCTCTTTCATGAGAGTCTTATTTCATTAGGCAAAAGCTACTTACTAGAGCGTGTGTCAAGTTTAACACTCAGGAGCTGGTGAACTTGCTAGCGATTTTCCCCTTGTGTCCTCTTGTGTCGTGGGTGTAGAGAGGTGGTTTATGTGTTTGTTTAACAAGATCCAGTAGGCAGATCGCTTAGGACCAGAAAGGGCTGACCTGTGGATTTAGACAGATCTCCCTGCCTCCCCACCCTGCCCCCTTTGATATTTAATTTGAAGTATGCCAGCCATTCTGTGATACTGGCCTTGTACCTTTCTGGTCAAAAGCCCTATCAGTTCCTTCAGTGGTCTTCCCAAATGTTCAACAGCACTGTACCAGACGGTCCCAAAGTCGGCTTCCCGGACTGCTCAGCAGCCCTGTACTGCACAGTTGCCAAAGCCGCCTCTGTCTACAGTGCCATATACAAACATAGTTCCCTTTCATTCTCCTTGTCTCCTCAGGTGCCCTGTTTAGTAATTGTTCCTGTTAGGCACCAAATTCAAGTCCAGTTTCTTCAGACAAAGTTGTTCATTCTTTTTCTGGGTAATAGAGCCTACAAGCAGGGAGGTCTGTCTACACACATGTTGCAAAAGGCTGGGTGCTTTAACTTTATGCATTGTTACAGAGTAAATCCTACAAAAAGATACAAGTTGCATACCTGCTTTCTGAACAGCTGCAGGAAAAAGCAACATCCTGTCCCACAGAGCTGTATATTTGCCATGTGTGCTTGTGTGCCTATTTAATATGCAAATTAGATGTTACTTGGCTTAGTACACCATTGCAGAATGGTATTGTTTTTGAGTCAGAATAACAGATCACTTGGCTTCAGTTCTTCTTCTGTTCTAATTGGTGGAGTTAGAATGCATTTCTGCATACAAAAAGAACATTAATTCATATACTGGCTAGTCTAAACTCCTTTCCCTTTGTCTTTTGATTTACCTAATTATCTTGGTATGACTTTTCCTATTTCAGTCAATTTTTGTTGTACAGGTAAGGCCCTCAAGGTATGTTGATTTTATTGATTCACATAATCTACATTTGGAAATAAATTTGTTTGTATAAACACCTACTATATTTTCCTGTTGGTTAAACTTCCTCTTTCACACTTTTCTAAAAGGAAGTTGCTATTAGTGTTATATAATGGGAGGCTGCCCCATAAAAAGATAAATCTAAAGATAGGTTTGTAGAGATTAATTATTGGATAATAATGCAGAATAAATTCTCAGGTCAGTTGATTAACATGAATTATTTTTATGGTATTACTTCCCTTTTTGTCTTTTTGTTTACATTTTTCCTCTTTGCTCCCATTTTTTGAATACTTTATACCCCATAGGGAAGGCCACCCTTGATAACAGCCCAGTCAAGATTTTGGTTTTTAAAATAGCTTTTTCAGCCTGCTTAAAACCCAGAACTGGTGTGCGTTTAGCTTGTTCAGTAAGTTGTAGCTTCTCTACTCCCCAGCAAAGACCTAAATAACAGAGAATTATAGTGATGCCTTTAACATGCTAAGATTTTATTTTTGCAAAATATGCAACTCATACAGTATTATAACTACATATAATTACAACAAAAGTTGAGTTTTCTACGTCCTGAATGGTGAGTACTGTCCTAGAAGATGTGTGGGTCTCAGAACATCTCTAATTGACCTTTCACTTTTCATTAAACAATGTTTATAATACATTCATTTGAAAGATATAATGCAATCCAAATTCTCCACTAGGTAGGAGGAGGAGTGCCACTGTAAGTACAAGCATAAGGTTTGCATTTTGAGATTATGCTTGCTCATGATGAGCCAGGTCTTCGTGTGGTACAAATTGACTTGGGTCCATTGAAATCACTGATGGGGAATCTGATCTTGTATACTCGCTCTAAGCTTAAATTAAATACAGTTACTGTTTCTTATCCCAGCATACATTCTGTCACCTCCTTTTTTCCCCATGTGATTAATAGATTAATATAACTCGACAAAGGTACTTTGACCAACGTGATTCCTAGATTGTAAGGGGCTGGAAGGGACCTCGCAAGATCATGAGGTCCAGACACCCTGCACTAATGAGGAAAGACAACTGGGGTCAGGTGACCCAAGCAAGGTGACCATCCAGTTTCCTCTTGAAGATTTCCAGGGTAGGTGATTGCACCACCTCTGGAGGGAACTTATTCCACAGTCTGGACACCCTAACTGAAGACGTTTTTCCTACTGTTAAGCCTGAAACGGTCTTCCAGGAGTTTGTGGCCATTACTGCTGGTTTTCCCCAAGGGTGCCCTGGTGAAAAGTTGTTCGCCAAGCCCTTGATGTATTCCCCTGATATAGCAGTAAGCTGCTACCAAGTGCCCTCTCAGCTTTCCCTTTTTTTAGGGTGAAGAGACCCAGATCCCTCAGGCTTTCCTCATATGACTTGCATTGCAAGTCTCTGGTCATACAGGTGGCTCTTCTCTGGACTCTCTCAAGCTTTTCCATGTCCTTGTTTAAGTGTGGTGTCCAGAACTGGATGCAGTACTTCAGTTACAGTCTCACCAATGCTGAGTAAAGCAAAAGAATCTTCCTTGGTTTTGCTTGAGATGCATTGGTTGATGCATGCCAGAGTATTGTTTGCCCTGCTGGCTACAGCATTGCACTGACAGCTCATGTTCATACTATGGTCTATTATTGCCCCTGGGTCCCTTTTAGTAGTGGTGCTGGTCAGTTTTGTGCCACCGAGCCTGTTAGTATCTTGGTGATTGTACACAGATGGAGCACTTTACACTTCTCAGTGTTGAACTTCATCTGGTTCCGACCTGCCCAACTTACCAGCCTGTCTAGGTCCACCTGTATCTGCAGCCAATTTTCAAGCGTGACCGCACTCCCCCATAACTTGGTGTCATCCGCGAACTTGGCCACTGAGCTCTTAACCCTCACATCCAAATCATTGATAAAGATGTTAAAAAGCACTGGAGCAAGCACGGACCCCTGAGGGACACCACTGGCCACTTCTCGCCAGGACGACACAGATCCTTTCATTGGAACTCTCTGGGTCCTACCCCACAGCCAGCTTCCTACCCACCTAATTGTCAAGTAGTTAAGCCCGCAGTCCTCCAATTTTCCTGTGAGAACATTTTGGAATACCAAATCAAAAGGCCTTTTGGAAGTCTAGGTATACAGTGTCAACCTCCTCTCTCTCATCCAGGTGGCGAGTTAGCTGGTCATAGAAGGTGATGAGATTGGAAAGATTACCAGTGATGAAGCCGTGCTGACTGTCATTCAGAATCCTACTTTCTGCAAGCATGTTGCACATAGACTCTTTGAATTTTTCCAGGATTTTCCCTGGGATAGAAGTTAGGCTAATTGGCCTATAGTTGCCCAAGCCCTCTCCCCTTCTTTCTTGAAGATGGGCACAACATTGGCCCTCTTCCAGTCTTCAGGGACCTCCCACAAGCACCGCGAGTTTTAGAAGAGTTTCTCCAGAGGTCCTGCGATGACTTTGGCCAGCTCCTCTGCACTCTCGGATGTTGTATAGTCCTCTTTGGGGACTGTCCCAAGCTTTCATTGTTGGTATACCTCTTTCTTCTTTTTAAAGATATCCCTATTAAGCCAAGAGGGCTTACCAGCCCTTCTGCTACCTTTCCTCTGCATGGGAATGGACTTCTTTTGTGCTTTGTGGATTATGTCCTTGAGGAACGACCACTCTTCATAAACTCCTTCACCTTCGGTCCCTGGTCCCGCAGTGCTTCCCCTACTATTGCCCTGAGCCTGTTGAAATTAACTTTTTTGAAGTCCAAAACTTTAACCCTGCTAGCTGATTTGCCTGCCTTGCAGTAGACAGTGAATGTGATGGTTTTGTGGTTGCTGTCGCCCAGGCTACCCTCTAGATTCTAGTCGCTCACCAGATCATCTCCTTTTGGCCAAGACCAAGTCTAGGAGATTGTTACGTCTGGTTGACCTGTGCACTTCGTGAGTCAGGTAGAGCTCTTTGATACAGGTCAGGAAGCAATGCGACCAATCCAACTTAGCTGAGTGTTCCTCCCAAGAGATGTCTGGGTAATTGAAGTCGCCCAGGACAACCATGTCCTGTGCACAAGCAGCCTCTGCCATTTCTCGAGAGAACTCCAGATTGAGCTGCTCCTCCTGCTTTAGTGGTCTGTAGTATACACCTACAGTTAGGTCTCTCTCACCGCAGCCACGCACTCCTCCCCCCGGTAATTTGACCCAGAGGATTTTGAGCTGCTCTTCTTTGGAGTCGATGTTGGCCTCCAAGGAGCTGTACTGCTCCCTCACGTAGAGGGCTACACCTCCACCTTTCTTCCCTACTCAGTCCCTTCTGTGCAGGGTGTAGCCCTCTATGGCTGCATTCCAATCATGTGAGGAGTCCCACCAGGTCTCTGTAATCCCTACTAGATCGTAATGCCCACTGGAGAGTAGGAGGGCTAGCTCCTCCTGCTTGTTCCCCATGCTCCTGGCAATAATGTACAGGCACCTGAGTCCTCCAGTTGAGACCCTTGATTTCCTGTCATGCTTTGGGGAGAACCATTCCTTCGGCTTTTGTAAGACTGGTTCTCCTAGTGTCCCCAACTTCAGAGCTTTCTTTGTGCCGGTCCCCAGGCATGCTCTGTCAGTGTTTCCCTGTCTCCCTGCAATCTTAGTCTAAAGCCCTATCTAGAAGATCGGTCATCCTGGCTGAGAACAGGGACTTACCCCTCTGCATGAAGTGGATGCTGTCCCTTCCCAGCAGTCCTCTCTCCCCAAAATGTATGATGATGGGTGATGGCAGTGTTCAAGTATCATCTAATTAAAACACTCTGTCAAACCAGGCCATCTTGTAATGTTACATAACTGTTTTCTGACTTTATTCTGCAGTTCTTATTAGACAATGTCAACTGGAAGAGTACGGGCAAAAAAAAAGGCATCGTCTGTGGATCAGTCTCCAGATAGCCTTCCTTTGCGGAGCTCTGGGAGACAGGTATTTTATAGTATTCAACATCATTATTTCTGCGCCTGTTTAACACTTGCTATGAATGGATTTCCCTGGTTGTTTGTATTGTAGAACTTGCCTGTTTTAAAAATTAACTTAAAATTTGAGGAACGGATGACAGTAACCTCTTTTGACTTTGACTAGCACCAGTAGGCTTTACACAAGAAGAGTTTTAAAGAGATAAGAGAAGGAAGATATGATGCTTGAAACCAGTGGAATACAAAGGAGTTTAAATATTAGCTTAAACTAGAAGCTCTGCTGATAATTTCTTTAATGGTAGCAACCAGAAGACCAAAGCAAAAAGCCTTTGGCTCAAATGGATGTTGCCAAAATTGTTGTTTTCTGTACAACTAGCTTATTTCAACAGCTGTCCCATACTGCAGCTTTTTCAAAGAGAATCCAAAGATTTGATTGATATTATTTTAACTAGTTGTTTCTGTGTCCTGAACTAGAAAACCAAGAATGCTCTGATGGAACATAAAAAATGCATTTGCCATCTCCAGTAAGTTTTAACTGTTCTTTATTAGGTGAAGAAGAAGGCAGCTGAAACAGCAGATGACGATGATGAAGCAACATCGGAGAAGAAGTACAGAAAGTGTGAAAAAGCTGGTTGTACTGCAACGTGTCCTGTTTGCTTCGCAAGTGCTGCCGAAAGGTTTGTGCCTTTATCTGCAGACCTTTTTCTTTTTTTTCTGACAAAAACCCTTCTATCTTCAGACAATATAGTATAGACTTAGGTTGCCTGTGAAGCACCACAAACAGTCTTTTGTAGATAACCTTCTGCTGTGTGACACTAATCCTGAAATAATATTTTCCTAGGATATGGGTTATTAATGCAGCAGGTCTATTTTCTGGCACAGCTTCTGTTTTAGTGAAACTGAGAGCATGCTTATGAAATATAAGGCTGCAAAATTGCTGAAATTCTTATTTCTGTGCTCTGGTGTAGTGCTGTAATCTCTAGCTAAGGTCCTGACCCTACAGGATAAGTATTTTAATTATAACCCTTTGTTCTTATTTGACATAACTTTCTCTGAACTTCTATATAAACACTTCTGCATTTTTGTCTTTGGAATTTTGAGACAGTATTAAATGGGCAAGGCCTATAATAAGCAGCATGGTATGCTTAGTTAATATGGTAAGGACACTGCAATTATGTGACATTCTCTTCCCAGCCTAATAATTAGTGTGTGTGCCTTGTGCTATTTATTTTAAGATGATGTTAAATTATTTTATGCTGCCTTCAAGTTTTAAATTGTTTACATGTTGTAATGTTTTGTACTGAGAATCAAAATATATTCTGGAAGTTGTTAGAGAACAGCTGGACAGTTAGGCAGCTGAGAAGGAGGCTTCTGGTACTTATGGCACCCAGGAAAGTAGACTCAATTTTCTGTTTTTCTAATTTTTGTTTCTAAAAGACACTTTAGATTTCTCATTCATTTTTCAAGCTTTATTTTTATGTTTGTTTTAAATACTTCTATATTATTACATAACTGAAATTGGATAGTTTTGTGACTAACTGGCTTAGGCCATTTCATTTTACCATCGCTTAATTTTATATTTAAGGAACAAAATTGTATATCTGTTCAGATTCTTTTATTTACTAAAAATAACAACCAACTCCATAATTCTACAAAAATAATTGGGCAATATGTATTTCATGTGTACAGGTTGCTGCTAAATCTAGGTCTAGTTATGTTCTGTTATACTTACCAATTAATGAATCCGTGAGTTTGGAGGCAAAGACTATGTATTTCTGTATATCTAGAAAACACACAGTTTTTCCTGGCATAAATAATAAGAGTGACCACTGCCAATGTTTAACAGATACTTCTGGGTATCTAATTAATTGGTACTGGGAAGATCTGTGTGGAGCTATGCTGAACCTGCCTTGCTAAAGCGAGACTTGTAATCCCAAGCTAGTTACAGTGCTACACAAACCATGTTTTTGCTGCCCTTGTACCCGGCATTGAAGTAAGAGGTTTTTGATGCATCTAAAATGATTGTTTACTTAGTAGTAGTAAAAGTAGTAGTTACTATAGTATCTAAAAGCAAGACCCTCATTACACTAGGCAATACATGAATATATACATCAGGTAAAAGCGGTAAAGAATCAAACTTATTTCTGTTCTGCCCTGCCCTTACTATTTGTTCAATTTTTGGAATGCATGACAGTCCACACAAAAAATATACTGTAATCTGTTCTGTGCTCTCTCGTTTCATAGGTGTGCTAAAAATGGGTACACATCTAGATGGTATCATCTCTCCTGTGGGGAACACTTCTGCAATGAGTGTTTTGATTATTATTATCGAAGGTATGCTTACTGAGGCCAGCTATGTCATTTTGTTAGATATGGAAAGTGTGCAGACAGCCTCAGTCATTAAAACAAATGCTTTTAAACATTGTCCTTGTGCGAACTCTTGAAATGAAGCTTGTGTACAGGACTGTGAGTGGTACAGATCACAGGAGGTGCGTTAGGCTGTCCATCAGTGGAAGCCTGGTAATAATGGCTGGGTATCAGTGTATGTGACACTTTTTATTTTTTATTTTTTTAAGAGTTCCTTCTTTAAAGGATGCAAATGAACAAAACAGAGTAATAAGAATAATTACTTTTTGCTATGTACTTTTAAACAGTAACTCAAATGCCATTTTGGCTTTTAGATTGACACGATCAAAATTGTGCTTGTTTTTTGTAACTAAAAATACCTAAAATGACCTGGAGATGATGGAGATAGAAATTTAGTTTTACAAAGGGACTCTCAGATTTAAGGTGTCCTACTCAGTGAATGAATTTGATACTTCCAATTCCTTGACAGTGAAGATTAACATGGTAGCCTCTATATCCTTAATAGTAGCTCAGCTTTGCTCTTCTACATGAGAGCATGTGTTTATTATGAAGAGGAAATGTTGGCAAGGATACTCCCTTACTGTTATCATACTATATCTGATTTCCTTTTTTTAAAGAAACAAAGTCCTACATTTAGTCTCTCTCTCTCTCTCTCTTTCTCTCTTTCTTCCCCACTCCTGTCCCTCCTCAGATAAGTGTTATTTCTTAAAACAGACAAGCCCTGCTCATTTAGTAACTGCTTGCTATTAACTTTGTCTCTTTTCCTAGCCATAAAGATGGTTATGAGAAATACACTGCTTGGAAAAGGATTTGGACCAGTAATGGTAAAAGTGAGCCCAGTCCTAAAGCTTTCATGGCTGATCAACAGCTTCCTTATTGGGTAAGAAAAATAGTGCTTTGACTACAGTAGCAGCTGTAGTTGGCTTTCATTATGGCAGGAGTTTGGGTATATGTGTGTGTTTGTTTTGATTTTAAACGGTGTTGGGAGGTCAAGCTGCTGGTTCTGATATAGGTCTCCCTAGAGAGTTTCTAGTATTAGGAAGATGGGTTAGGGCAAGCCAAGGATATAGTCCCAGTCAGTTTTTCTGCTGTCAAAAATCTGTCTCTGCTTCTGCTCTGCCTAAGCACTCCATCCATCCCTCTGTTTCTCAGTCTGGCTACTTGGGCAGGAACAAGGATTTATAATGTGGTGCAGTTGGGAGTAAATGTAAGAGTTAAAAGATGGTATATGGGAAGAAGGTGGCAGCACTAAGAAGCAACAGAGAGAGAGAGGGAGAATACACACTATAGAGGAGTAGGATTCTCAAGAGGTTTTTGGTAAAAAGAATAGATGCAAAGGAACAGTAGCTTCACTGTGTGGAGTGGAATCGGAAAGATAGTTTGGACAGCTGTGCACATCATAGGTTTAATCCCAAGAGGTGCAGAATGCTTAAGATCCCCATTGAAATTGGTGGGACTGGGTGCCAATACATCTCAGAATGTAAACCCTGTAGGTGGAATTCACCCTCATGCAGCTGATTGGCACAAAGGCCTAAGAGCAGCTTCCATCTGATGTTAGTCCACAAGGCATAAGTGGCTTGCTGGCCTTGGGCCAATGGTTTGCCTGAGGGTGAGTCCCACCTTATGTGAATAATGTATTTAATAACTTCCTTGCAGGTTCTGACCCCAAACCACCTCATTTCCTTGCTGCTGTTTGTTGCATCATCAGCTTGACCTGCACTCAGTCAGCTGCAAGCTGAAAAGTTTGTTTTTATTTTTAGGTACAATGCACCAAGCCAGCATGTGGGAAGTGGCGTCAGCTGACAAAGGAAATCCAGCTCACTTCACAAATAGCCAAAACATACCGCTGTGGTATGAAACTTAGCAATTCTACCAAGGTAATACAAATTCTGTTTGCACCTAATGAAACTGCAAAGCAGATGCTTCTGCTGTTTATATGCCGTAGAGCAGTGGTTCTCAACCTATTTGTCATAGTTGGCCACAGTTGCAGCTCTCATCAAGTTGTGGGCTGCACCCACACTATTTACTTCCTGTGTATCCATTTAAAATTGTTTTAACAGGATGTCACATGGGCCTCAGTAGTGTGCTGATTGGGCTGCATGTGGCCTGCAGGTTGAGAACCACCCTTAGAATGTGCTTGTTTCTTCTAATATTTATATTGTCAAAGTAATCAGTTGATTGTCTTGAGAGCTATGTAACTGGTTACCCACAGCATGTCTGATTTAGTGAAACTGAAGTATCCAAAACATTGTAAAAATGCCCAAGTAATCAGTTGTAAACTCATTTGTTTTGAAAATAGTGCTGCACTGCTGGCCCAAATATTTCTATTTCTTTTTACGTTTTTTGAGGTTTGTTTTATTTGGTGTCTGTGAGCTGGAATTAATGACTATTTGAATAGCCCTATGGGTTTTTAAAAAATTAATTAACATGCTTCTTTGCTGACAAGCTAAATGGAAAGTTTTGGATTTAACATGAAGAAAGTGGCCTGCTAAAATCTGTACAAGTCATTACAGTGTCTTACTATCAGATACGGTCCTTCTCTTGTAAAGCTACATTTTCAGATGCTTTGGCAATGGATCAACACAAGCTCTGGTATAACTCTCATTGATTTTCTGCACCAATGTACATTGTGTTGGAATCAAGAACAGATAATTGTGTCTGGGGGATGACCAGGAAGAATTTTGTACATGTGATTTTTGTACCCTGTTCCAGATAGACACATATGCAAAAGAGTATATAGCTTGATAGTTGAGCATTGAAATTGAAATTCAGTGCAAGCCAAAATGTCTTCAGCTTTAGAATTCATGCCCTTACGTTATATGTTTAATGTGTGAGTAGTAGATTAAACGAATACTCTTGGTAATCATCAAGGAACTTTCTGTCATTTCCCTTTATAGTGTTTTTATATTATGTACTATATATGAACTATTTTGGTTAGTTATGTGAATATAAACAGAAAAACTGTGATAGTGGCATTAAAACAAATTGTTTCCAATATTTTTAAGCTAAAGAGAATTGTACCACATGCTGCTTCTTTTAAATAATCTTTTAGCACAACTTTAGAAAGACTCAGATATAGTTACCTTCTTTTTCAGACTGAGGGCTCAGACCAGTGTTCCATGCCTGAAGATTTGGTGAGTAGGGTGTACACAGTTGTTGTTCCTGCTCTTCTACTTCAAAGTATCAAGTTAGCCTGTAAACTTGGCGCTGATATGACTCCAAAGTACCTCAGACACCTTCAATTAAAGTTTCACAACACTGAAAAATGTAGGCACCTAGCGCTAGGAGGATAATTCAAAGAAAGGGAGTTGGTGCCTATGCAGTCTGTAGGAAAAGTCAGGTGTCCTGGCATGATGTTCCACAAAAAAACATTCATTGAGCAGAAAGCTATATAGGGCTAGCCAATAAGAAATGCTGAGCACAATAACATATCTGAACTCCTGCTGCTCCCTGGAGCCTAGGTGATTGTCGCATGTTAGATGTCTCTGTTCAATTGTGAACGAGAGCCTGGAGTTCTCTTTGGGGCTGGACACCTAATTGAGCAGAACTTAGTATTTTTTAAATGTGGCTGGAGAAGGAGATGGTGATAGTGGTGATGCCACTTTTTTTTAACTTAGAAAAACTAGTGATAGGAGCACACATACAAGTGGAAGGACCAGGGGTCTAAGTTCTCCTCGGTCTGAGGGAGTCTAAACCTACATCTCCGCTTCCCAGATGAGTACTTTAGCCCCCAGGTTATAGAATAATCTGGATGAGGCCACCTTCTATCCTTCCTGTTCAGTCTGGGATGCTGAGCAGCTAAGAATGCAAGAGGCCTGGGGCCAGAAGAAGGGCAAGCAAGAAAGGAGCCTGACTCTGTATCCTAATGCTTAGGGTTCTTCATGGGGAAGGTGGCAGCACCATCACTGCCACCTCTTCCTCCTTCATCTCTAGCTGTGTTTTTGAATGAAGGTGACCGTGACTGCTGTGCTTTGTGAGAGACTAAATATTGTTGGCATGTGTTAGACAAGCTCTGAAGACATCTACTTTTCAGGGATCTAAGCCAGATGCCAGTGCTTCTCTGACTTGGTTTTGGATGCCAACAAGCATGATATAGGAGATAGGCCCTTAGCTGCTTAGATTTCTTCTGTGTACATGTGGAAGCATAATTGTTATGGCACATTAAACAACACCAGCATTTGAAGTCAAGTTCAGGAGGGACTGGTGTGGTGAAAATGTGTGTGTCTTTTTTTCAAGTCTTTTTTTCCTGAGGTTGGTATTTTGAGTTCTGGTGGGTCTTAGTACTGAGGGTGAAAGCTAATCAAAATGTTTTCAAAGTACTGATGGTTGTCTTCTGTCCTCTCTCTTCCATTTCCCTGTCCAACCAGAGAGTTGCTGAAGTCTCAGACCACTGGTGGTACTCCATGCTCATTCTCCCTCCCTTGCTGAAAGACAGTGTAGCAGCTCCCTTTCTCGCTGCATACTATCCAGATTGTGTGGGCATGAGTCCATCCTGTACCAGCACTAACCGATTACTGGGTGAATCCAACACTGTGAAGTTAGAGCATTTAAAGAGCATGCCTAATTTGGCTGGTAAGGACTGTTTTCACAGCTCTGTCATATAAATATTAGTAGTTTATTTTTTGGCCTTCCTTGAAGGTTATAAATTCAGTTATATTTAGCTTGCATGCTTATCAGGATAATAAAATGCCTTGAGGTTTAGCCTCGTGACCCAGTGACAGGAAATCTATGTTGTATTTCCAGTTCTTCTCTGTGACCTCCTGGGCATGTCTACATATGCATTAATGCGCTTTTCCTAATGCACCTTAAATTTACTACCTCCAACATGAGGTACTAAATAAATTCATGTTAGGCTGCCCTAACGTGCAGTAGCTTATTTTACTGCACATTAGCGTAATTGCATGGTTTTTTATGTGATGCTTTAATGCATGGTAAAATAGGTGCATTAAAGTGCATGTGTAGATGCGCCCTCTATAACCATTTCACTTTTGCATGCTTCAGTTTAATTCTCTATGAAGTGGAGGCAATAATGCTTTCCTGCCTCACAGCACTTCTGTGAGGACTTAATTGTTAATGCTTTAAAGTGCCTGTAAGTTCTTGGATGAGATGGGGTTTTAGAAATGCAAAGAATCATTATTATTCTTTAAAGATTTTGAAAGTATCAGTGTGCTCAATTATCTATGAACAAAATAGTCTATGGCAGACCTAACTGTGTTATCTGCAGTGCTGATGTCAGAATCTGGCTAGCAACTTAATCTTCAATGTGTTCAGCTCTTTTTCAGAGAGAAGAAAGAATTCTGTCTCTCAGACTAGAGCACCTTTTGACTTTGGCTCCTTTCATTAAATTCATTTTCCCATGTGATTGTGTTAGTCATAGGTTCTCTGAGTTAATTTTAACAATTTCAAAAGCATCTCAATGACTTGGGTTTGAATGTGGCTTTTTTTCAAAGGTAATTGAGGAGCATAAGTTTTATTCTAAATTAGGGAGCATAACTTTTAGACTCTAGTGCCCAAGTCATTTTGAAAAGTGTAGCACTTTATCTTTTAGAAGCAGATCTTTGAACTTGGACCTTTGAACTGAACAGTGACTGCATAGGTTGCTATTCCTTCTGAAATACCTTTTGTTGGCAGAAATGGGTGTGGAACAAGGAACATGGTATCTGCATGCCAAATGCCAGTTGTATCCCTGCCAGAGTGAAAATGCATAGGTTCCTTTTAAAATACAACTTTTTTTGACCAATTCTGGTATAGCAGAATCTTATGAGCCTCAGATAAAGAGACTAGATTTCTTAAAAAGCTCCAGTTTTCCTCCTTAAATAAAATCTGTCAGATTGACAATCCTGGTGTTTAAGTCCTCTCTTTTCCATTGGCCTGGGCTGTGGATAAGCAGTGACAATTAGTTCAGTCACCCAGCTGCTCTGCCTCAGCTCCTTTTCTCCTGTCTTTTCAGATGTTATTCTCTCTAGAGCTTGACCATTGTGTTGCAGGCTCCTTTCTGTTAAAATCTAGAGCAAGACAACCAGCCTTATTTCATGTAAACCACCAAACAGCTGTTGGAAGATTATTTTCAGTCACTACAACAGTGGGCCAGGGAGCTTGAGCTTGAAAAATGGAGTCCTCTGAACTCCTCCTATTAAGCCTGTATTGATTCTGCACCCACAGTCCTGAACTCCATTCCTGTTCTTTAAATCTGACAAAACAAAGCAGTGGGAATGGATCCAAACCTCTTCAGGTAGAAGGGTGAACTCTGTATATTCAGTACATAATCTGAGAGCAGTGATACAGCAGAGTATGACTAATTCACAGCCTGTCTTTATTCAGTTTCAGGGTTGAACAAATACTTCCAGCCTTTTTACCAGCCCAATGAATGTGGTAAAGCACTCTGTGTGAGACCAGATGTCATGGAACTAGATGAACTCTATGAGTTCCCAGAATATTCAAGAGACCCTACTATGTACCTGGCCTTAAGAAACCTCATTCTGGCTCTGTGGTATACAAACTGCAAAGTAAGCAAGACTAATAATTAATGGTATAATTTTATGTTTACTAGAAGTAGGCGCTCTCAAGTGCTGCTCTGATGTGTGGGGAGTTTTCCCAGGACAAGAGTTCACATGGGATGCTCTTCATTTAGACGTAGCAAAGGCATTCTAAAATTTAAGGAAGTCTTTAAGAAAAAAATAGGATCAAACCATAAAAATCAATTGCAGTTGAAAATGCCAAGAACCTTCCTTTAAAATGATCTGTCAGTGTTTTAAAAAATGTTTGAGTATTAAGGTTTGGCAAAGGGGCATTTCACATATTTCTAAATAGCCTTTTAGAGTATTTCATTGTTGTTTGTTTATGTGAATGTTGATGGAGGTAAGTGAGAGAGGCTCATGGCAAAATTTTAGCTAAGTATGACTAGGGAGGAAAAATGTGATATCAAAGCTTTTAGCTGTCAATTGCCTAGATTAAAAGATCAATCCCAGATGGCTCTGTGGAGCATGCTGTTTGTGTTACAAACTCCCAGCTGCCTTCTTAGATTTCTGTCACCGTGCAAGCAACCTCAGACAGCAGGTCATAAGCCTTTTAGCTTCTTTTGATTTAATACCACTGAATTTATTGGAGTTGTTTTTGAATTACATCTGATATAAATGAGGTAAGTAGCCCTTGGGGCTTTTCCATAATTAATATTTCTAGATTTTGGTGCCCCTATGTGATGCAAAATTTCTGGATGTGATCCTGAGTTTACTTAGTTGAAGTAGTGCAGAAATATCTTTACTGTCTAGATCCATGTGGCAAGAGGTAGAAGAACTTGAATTCTTAGGATCACATTATGAAATTTAAGCAAATGTCTTGGCTGTCGTGGATGTAGTGAGGTATCTTGTACTGTAATTTTCTTTGTCCTGTGTTAATTCTCTCTGTTTTGTTGGGAGAATTGGAAGAATCAGAACTCCCCTAAACAGTTGGCTGGCATATAAAAATGACCATGAGTTTTGCTAATCTGTCTGGGACTGTACAATTAATGGTTACATTGAATTACAGTTTAAATTGTAAATTTTACTCTCTAGGAGAACATGTGGAGTATATTATGAAAATAACCTTTTGTTTTGTGTTTTTATTTCTCTTTGCAGGAAGCTCTCACTCCTCAGAAATGTACACATCACATCATTGTTCGGGGGCTTGTGCGTATTCGCTGTGTACAAGAGACAGAGAGGATTCTGTACTTTATGACAAGAAAAGGGCTGATTAATACAGGGATTTTATCAGTCAGTCCTGACCAGTATCTTCTTCCCAAAGAATACCACAATGTAGGGCACCATAATGTTTTGTGCTTTTTAATGCAGTAGAAATTAAGTAGCAGCATGTTCTGTCCATTCATATCTGGGGATTTTTTTTTGCAATCAGCAGTTCAAGCCATGCCTGTCAAGATTGGCTTTAAACATGGCAAGGCATTTGCTTCCACTGAAGTAAATGGGCATATCAGATGCACAGTTTCCGTGGCCATGGTAGCCAAGACCAAGCTGTGTTAATACCTACTTTATAAAAACCCTGAAGTAAACTGTGCTTTTTTTCCATACTCTTAGCACTGTGTTGTCTAACTTTCTGTAACAGTTTAACATGTGGCCCACAGCCTCCTGTCTGGTTGCCGTTTTCCCCCGCTGCTCCCGCTGTACCAGCAGCAGGCAAGGAAGTGTGGGGCAAGTGACTATGTGCAAGCGACTCCGTTCTTGAGCTAGCAGTAGCTGTACCAACAAATCCCGTGGGCCACAACTGGGCCACCAACCAGCCCAGTATCAAAGTATTAGAGGCCTGATCATACAGCATATGAAATCAGTGGGTTTGGCAGAAATCAATGGGAGAAACATTGACAATGTATAATGATCACCTTTATTTTTCCCCCTCACAGTTTTTTTTCAACTTTTCCTTCTCTTTTCTTTTTAAAGAAATCTGTCATTATTGTTGGATCTGGTGCAGCAGGGTTAGCAGCTGCAAAACAGCTTCACAATTTTGGAATTAAGGTAAGAAGCTTTAGAACTTAAATCAGATTTCACATCTCACAGAATTTAGAAATCCTTTGTTCAATGGGGAAAATTACAGATGGATACCTGAGGCAAACAAATTTGCAGAACCCACAGTTCAACTACGGAACGTTGTTTCTAGGGAATGTCTAGGAAACAGGTTGTCTGTTTTACCCTAAAAAGAAGGGAAAAAACAAAACAAACAAACAAAAAACCCAAAAGGAAAACAGCAGTATTTGAATAAAATATTTTACTCTTTGTTATTCACCAAGATCAAATCATACCTGACTAACCTGATTGCCTTCTCTAATAAGGAGATGGTCCCATCCACCTAGAATAGGTGGGGAGCAGTGGATGTGACATACTTTGACTTTAGCAAGGTTTTGGCCCAGTCTCCTATGACATTCACATTAACCAACTAATAAATACAGTCTAGACAAAAAAACTATAGGGATACAGATACAGAAGTGATCCAGCGATCATCATGCTTAACGAGTAGTCCTCTATGGCTCAACGTCTACTTGAGAGGAGGTATTAAGTGGGGTTCCCTAGAAGTCTGTCCTACATCCAGTATTTTTTAACATCTTAATGATTTGGATGATGGGATTGGGTGCACATTTAACAAATTTGCGGATTCATAGATTGTAAGGCCGGAAGGGACCTCAGAAGATCATTGGGTCCAGCCCCTTGCACCAAGCAGGGGAGATAACTGGGAGTCAGGTGACCCCAGCAAGGTGACTGTCTAGTCTCCTCTTGAAGATTTCCAGGGTAGGTGATTGCACCACCTGTGGAGGGAACTTATTCCACAGTCTGGACACCCTGACTGTGAAGAAGTTTTTCCTAATGTTGAGCCTGAATCGATCTTCCAGGAGTTTGTGGCCATTACTCCTGGTTTTCCCCTCGGGTGCCTGGTGAACAGTTGTTCATCGAGCCCTTGATGTTACTCCCCTAGAGTAGAGGTAAGCTGCTACCAGGTACCCTCTCAGCCTTCTTTTACTCAGGCTGAAGAGTCCCAGATCCCTCAGCCTTTTCTCGTATGGCTTGCCTTTTAAGACTCTGCTCATATGGGTGGCTCTTCTCTGGACTCTCTCAAGCTTGTCCGTATCCTTGTTAAAGTGTGGTGCCCAGAACTGGACACAGTACTCCAACTGTGGTCTCACCAGTGCTGAGTAGAGCAAAAGAATCACCTCACTGGTTTTGCTGGAGATGCATCGATTGATGCACACCAGAGTATTATTTGCCCTACTGGCTACAGCATTGCACTGCTGGCTCATATTCATACTGTGGTCTATTATTACCCCCAGGTCCTTTTCATTTGGGTGCCAGGGTGGGGGGCCAAGATCCCCGCTGCCCCATGCTGTGCAAGGGGGCTCTGCCGCAAGTGCCCAGAGGCCCCAGTCACTGCTTCTGCAGCCGGTGAGTGTGGGGCTTTTTTTTTGTTTTGTTTTTAAATGCTGGCTGGGGCTGGGGGGGGGATGGGGCGAGGCAGGGGAGCGATGGGG